GCAGATCGTACGTTTTTTAAATCACTTTACAACCATAGCAAGACTACGGTCTTGCGATGGTTGTACAGTGTATGGCCACCTTAAGCAGCATTTCTAGAAGGAGAGGTCAGCAATTACTTCCTCCACATTTTTCTCAGTGTCCTTTAAAGGCTAGCTGGTTATTTTGGGCCATATACAACATATACTACATACTGTATACTAGATTGCAAAAGGAAAGGAGGTCTTAAGGTGGCCATACACTGTGCGACCTTAGTCTTGCGATGGTTGTGAAGTGATTAAAAAAGCGTACGATCTGCCCATCTTGGACAGGCAGATCGTACTTCCGATGACCGCAATGCTGAACGGGCAGTGTGCACATGCACACACCGGCACCTTCAGCATTTGTCTCCCGAGCACCGTTCAAACCAGCCGAAAATCGTACGATTTTCGGCTGGTTTTCTAGCGTGCTCCTTAGACAAAAGACGTGCGACCGTACAGTAGAAACTGTCGCACGTCTCTGTTCACACTGCTCAATTCTCGTACGATTTCGGGATTTCCTTTAGACTGCTTCATTCACTTTTATTTATATGATGCTAGCCAAATATTTGTCTTACTGTGGGCTCATTTTTGTGCCTTAGAGAGAACCACTCACCAGTGGGCATTGAGGTTATCATAATATCCTATTTTATTTTTGTTATAGATTGTTATAGTGACGCAGTCTTACCTCTCAGGTATTACTGTCAATGATGACTGTGCAAGGTTTCTCTGGCTGTTGTCAGGATTGTGGTTGATGTCAGGGTTGCGAAGAAAGAGGAACACCATCTGTCTGCTACGCACAGCCTCCGAAACTATTGGAAGTGTAGGTGGTTACAAATATATTAAGTTCTATTGCTGAAAATTTATGTTCTATACTGTATATTTCTATAGAACATAATTTTCAAAGAGGCAGCCTGAGTTATTATTATTGAGCACATGATACATGGTAAACTATATGGGCAAATGTTTGTGGACACCTGACCATCACACCTATAGGAGCTATTGGAAATTCCATTTCAAAACCATAGGTGTTACTATTGAGTTGCCCTATGCCCACTTCCTTTCCTTATGGTTATAACTGCCACCACTTTTCTGGGAAGGCTTTTCCCAAAATTTTGGAGCATGTCTGTGGAAATATGTTCTGGATTGTACCCGCTTAGACAAAAAGCATTTTTGAGGTCAAGTACTGATGTTGGACGAGAAGACTTGTTTGCAATCAGTGTTCCAATTAATCCCAAAAGGTCTTCAGTTAGGCTCTGTGCAGGTCACTTGAGTTCTGTGCCGCCCCAATAGGGGCATAGAATATGAGATGCATAGCCTCAGTTAATATTAGCATTGTTATATAGGTTAGAATTTATATAGTGTGATTTGCCTAACTATTTTCTCATAGCTAAATTCATGTGTTATCCTATGCTGCCATCTAGTGGCCTTTTGTTGTAACAAACATGTTTTTCTGTAATTATTCCTCATGTGACGATGTATTTCCCCCTAGTGTACGCCCCTTCCTTCTTCCTGTGTGCAGTACTTCCTGTGTCATGGCCACAGTTAAAAGCCACATGTAACAAGGACACACAGGTAATCTGCACAGTACGTAGGAAAGGCATCATTTTCTGACCGCACAATACTATAACCGTTCAACTGCTGTTCCTATCATCTGCTGTAATCCTGATGTTAAGAATAAACACCTCTTTTGAATGAATCGGTATTGACGAGTTCAGCTATCTGACGAGGATTGTCCGCAGTGAGTATATCTGCTTATACAGGCCAGGCATAGAGGTCTCAGCAAGGGATATATTTTGCTATCACAACAATCGGAGTCAGAATAAGTTCCTTCACATTTAATTCATCAAACCATGTCTTTGTACCTGGCTTTGTACACAGGAACACCATCATCCTGTAACAGAAAAAGGAAAGGTCTTCCACAAACTGTTGTGGAAGCGCACAATTGTCTACAGTGGGTTGGCATGTTGTAGCATTTACAGTACCCTTTACTGGAAACACTTGAACTCAATAATTTGGAGAGGTAATGAACAGGTATCCACATACTTTCATGCATGATGATCAGGTGTCCATATACTTTTAACCATATAGTGTATGTTGATCTTCTATTGTGTAAAAAGTTGTGAAGGACAGGTCCAGTTAGTGAGCGATCTTACGGGCGGGCGGGTATTGAATTGGCTTCAATGCTGGTGTGCTGCTCCTGGTGTGTGCAGACTGTGGTCGCCTCATTACCCTCTGCTCCACCATATTTTATCTGCGCTAGGTTGTCGTGCTTCTTCCTCCTTTTTGTTTCCTCTTAAATTGATCTTCTTATGCATGTAGTGGTGTCCACAGCTTGTCAAGTGTCCACATACTTTCAACCATATAGTCTATATTGATCTTCTTATGTATGTAGTGGTGTCCAAAGGATGTCAGGTGTCCACATATTTTCATGCATGATGATCAAGTGTCCACATATTTTCATGCATGATGAATCAGGTGTCCACATACTTTCATGCATGATGATCAGGTGTCCACATACTTTCATGCATGATGATCAGGTGTCCACATACTTTCATGCATGATGATCAGGTGACCACATACTTTCATGCATGATGATCAGTTGCCCACATACTTTCATGCATGATGATCAGGTATCCACATACTTTCAACCATATAGTCTTTGTTGATCTTCCTATGCATGTAGTGTTGACAGGGTCTCTTTACTAAACATCCTGCTTTGTCAGCAGTGTATAGCTGTGAAAGTACAGAGGGAAGTACATGTTACCTACACACCTTTGCGATTGCTGAAAAACTGACTAAAAACATAACTTCCTAATCGAATGGAATTCAGCAGATTACATTTTTAAGCATTTTTTTAACCAGTTGACATCCGCGGTGTTAAACCCCCTTCCCATCCAGGCCATTTTTCAGTATTCAGCGCTGCGGTACTTTAACTGACATTTATTCCGTCATGCAGCGCTGTACTGAAATGAATTTTATACCCTTTTTTGGGGACAGATAGAGCTTTCTTTTGGTGGTATTTACTGTGCAATCATTTAAAATTAGCAACAAGAAAAAGAGGAAAGGTAACTACCGCTTTTATTAGCAATGGTTAGTGAAGCAGTCAGATTCACAATAAGTCAAATAAATGTTTGTTTTTTTGGTTATGTTTGTCATCAGGGCACCGTGAGCATTGTTGGTCGAATTATATCTCAAACAAAGGTTTAGGTTTGGTCAAACATGGCTGTAACCACAACACATGTGACTATCAGTACGGCACCTAGCAATCAGCCTGCTATTCAATTACTTTTCTTTCCCGTAAGCTCATTATCAGTGTTGGCACGCTCTTGCTTTAGATATCCAGACCACAATGACCGCCACTGGAGAGACATGACAAAGACACATTATTGCAAACTCGGTCACCAAGCTATATGTGAAGGAGGAAGGGAGGAGACAGGGAGGAGCCTCCCTGTCCCTCACTTGCTTGTCACTGGTGAGGCACTGAGACCGATGTCCTCAGTGTTTTTTTTATTTTTTTTTATTGGATAGCCTGGACCAATGGCGCTTTGCCATTGGTCCAAACCATCCACAGAGCTCAAGCCTCTAACATAGAGTAGAGGCTGTTGCAGATCTTGCCGCGCCTCACTATGTTAGGTTACACAAGCAGTGGGGAAGCCTACTGCTGTGTAACCTAACTTAGCTGTCAAAAGCAGAATGCATGTAATTAACAGGCAGTGCCCCACCAACCTAACTTAGCTGTCAAAAGCCGAATGCATGTAATTAACAGGCAGTGCCCCACCCATGACAGGTTACAGAGCGGGGAGGCTTTCCCTGCTGTGTAACCTGTTACAAGCTGCTCTGAATGGAGGAAAAGCTGTCAGCTTTTTCCTCCACAATACTAGGTGGGAATCTGCCTCACCTGCCTCTCCTGAATGCACGTCCCTGCAACAGAGTGATGTACTCATCAGTGTGATGTTTATCCTTCATAGTCAGGGTGGAGACAGGTTGGTCACCAAGCTGTTTTGGTTTCACTTTAGCAGAGAACTGTAAGGTCACCAACTTGGCTGTGCTATCTCAGGGGTGTTTGGGTCACAAGACTGACTGAAAACAAACACTAAGCCTTTCACAAGCTGACAGTCCAGGTATTTATATTTTTACTATGTATTTAGTTGGTTTCTAGAATTTCAGCTTCGGCTGCAAACATAACCATGGGCTCTGGTGGAGATATCTCCACTGAAGTCCCCAAGAGATATAGGATGCCAAAGGGGCACTTAGCTTAATCTGCAATAAAAGCCTTAGTTTTGTGTTGCTCTACCTTTAAAATTGTGAGGAATGCTCTTTTCCTTTACTTTTTGAAGTAGTTTTTTTGCAAGGTATACATTGTTGATGAATAAAAAAAGGTAAAATCCATTATTATTGAGCTGATTTATACATTTTCTGACCAGTGTATCGCTGGGCAAATGCTGTCCACATGGCACTAACGCCATTAGATGGAGCTGAGAAACATAGGAATGTTGTATGCTCCTTAGTGCCATCTAATGACAGTAGTGCTGTGTGCAGCATTCGCCCAGTTATATGTTGGGTGGAAGATTTATAAATTAGCCCATCAGTGTTAACAGGAAATTTAAAAATTACAGGAATCCACCCCTTCCAGCAAAAATAAACAAACGATGCCATCTTTATAGAAGTGCTAACAATGGCAGCCGTCCATTCTCCTCAGGTCCTGGTCAGTCTGCTGTCTTACAAACAGCCAATTCAGGGCAAAGTGAAAGTGTCTGCTGATAGCCGCCCCCCAACAAGTTATATTCACCTATTCATGCTTCTTCACTGCCTTGGGTAAGCTCTGGTGTCAGTTAGGGCTTCTGAAAAGGATTGAGGTCTAAGAGCTGGTCTTCTTTGTCGATACAATACAACACAATACTGGCTCCTAAAATACATCAATTGTAAATATTTCATAATTCTGTTTGCTAGCACTTGTTAATTTATTGATTTCTATCCCCTAGGAGCTGAAGATCTGCACTCTTCTCTGGCCTACACTTACAGAAGAAATCACATGGGACGTCTCATTTGTTCTTCTAGATTTTATCATCCCTGGTTTGGGCATCATTGTCAGCTATACCAAGATCTATAAGGTACTTAGTAATATAGTGTCCATCATGTTCTTTTCCTACTGGAGACTCAAATATTACAACGTCATTATTCCATTTATGGCTAAAACAATAAAAAGACTTCTAGCTGCAGGTGCCCACAGGATGCTTTCAGTGTTGGAGAGTCCCAACAAAGACTGCATTCTATAACAAATTTTGGAAGCCAATCCCAGCTTGCAGAATTCTGTTTCCAAACTAATGGTGTTCTTGGAGGTCAGGAAATGATTGCTTTATTACATAGATTAGCGCAAAATAATAGTAAAACAATTTGCTATAGCACCAATAAATGAATATCATATGATGTATTTTACTCCACACGTCCTTGTCATAGATTGATCGTTTTATGTGAGCAATGTAATAGGCAGGAGAAGCTGCCTATTTAAGGCCTCTTACCTTTGTGTCATGAGATCACATTCATTATTATCCTAGTAACAGAGTTAACCAACAGAAGTTTAGGTTCAAAGGACAACTGCACTTTTTTTAAAATCATTAAATCAGCAATTTTAAATGCTATCTCTTTTTCCCCACATACTAAAATCAACCATAATGGAGGTCACTTACATCATCGCTAAGTGGCCAGCTGTTACATAGTTATATAGTATTTGAGGTTGAATAAAGACACAGGTCCATCAAGTTCAGCCTTTGTTTGTGCGATTGTGTATGTGAGTCCCTGTGTGGTCTAGTTTTTAAGAGTACCTGTACCCCTGTATGTTACAGTCTCTGAGGAAGGTATCTAAATGATTTTTGAATAATCCCATACTCTCTGCTGATACCACTGCTTGTGGAAGAGTTTCAAAATGTAACCACTCTAACTGAAAAGAAGCCCCTACGCCCTGTGTTAAATCTTTCTCCACCAATTTTAGGTGGTGTCCTCTTGTCTTTGTTAGGGAGTTTACAGTAAAAAGTTTATTGCTGATGTTGCCATCACCACTAAACACTTTGTACATCAAAATCACGTCCCTCCTTAATCGCCTCACTTCTAGCGTGAACAAATTTTAATTTAGCAACCTTGTCTTATAGCTTTGATCCTCCAGCCCCTTAATTAGTTTTGCTGCCCTTCTCTGGACTCTCTCCAGCTCAAGGACATCCTTTCTGTGGATTGGTGACCAATACTGAACCGCATACTCAAGATGAGGCCAAATCAGTGATCTATTAAGTGGAAAAATTATTGCTTTGTCTCTACAGTACAAGTCTCAGCATTAAATGCATCTGTGGAAACTCATTCCTTTCTCAAATTGTCCTGTCCACCTGTTAGCCAATTGTTAGACATGCTGAGGAGATTTAGCATCCATTGAGAAACCCATTTCTGTCATTCCATTGACATTACATTGAATGCTTGGACTTATAGAGCACAGGAAAGTACCGCCTATGTACTGTACTTGTTCTCCCACAGGAGCGTGGATGGTCCCTTGTTGATAATGTAGGTGACCATCATTTTGGTTGACTGTTTGAGTTAAAGTGCAGGTGAACCTTAACAATCAAAGTTGGGGACTACTTTGCATTGTTCCTTTTTAAGCTTGTTGTAATATTAGTAGTCGCTAGGAGATGTAAAACTCAACAAAATACCCATTGATGGTGCTAGTCCTACTAGGAAAGAACTCCTTCCTGTTTTTAATTGCCCACACCAGGCATTGAAGCAGATTGATCCTAAAGTGGTTAGTTTGGAGCCTTTCTACCCAACTATAGGATGTTGTGCCGACGCTTGCCATGTCTGTAGTCCCAAAGTCAAATTACAACAGAAAAAATGCAGAGAAAGGAGCGCTACATCCTAACACAATTACTGATGATGGGGATGGAATAAATTACAATTCTTAGCTACATAATAACTCTGGTGAAAAAGACTTAAAGTGTTATTAAACCCTTGCATGTTTTTGCATATATCTACAGCTAGCAAGGGGTAGATATATGCAAAACGGAAAAAAAAAACTTTTGCAAAGGGTTAATACTTACCTGTGTCTCCGCCGCACGCTCCCGTCCGAACATCTGAAGATTTCTCGGGCGGGCGCATGTGCAGTTCAGATTTTCGGCCGGGAGACGAGGAGAGACACAAGATAAGTATATGGAGCAGCGTACCCCGCAGCTCAACATCCACACCATCAGTGGCTCAGGTGAAGACCAGGCGGCTCCCTTGGTCCTGCGACTCTGGCACACCTACGTTTGTTGTGCGGTCGCACTGTCCCTGCATCTTCAGAGACCTGTTTCCCTAATTCAGTCCCATTCCTAATTCAGTCACAATATACTTCTCTACAAGACTCGGAGTTTGCAATTCCTGGTGCTCCAGTGCGCAAATCATGACACACCGTAACCCTATAGAGTTATTCTTGACGAGTGCAGGATTGGAACCTGCTGTAAAAAAAATTCTAATTATATGCACCTGTCACACAGGTACCCAAAATAATTGGGCCTTTAGTGTTGGCGGTGCCTTCACACCATAACCCTTCAGATTTACTCTTTGCAAGTGCAGGATTGGACCCTGCTGTAAAAAATTTTAAATTATATGCACCTGTCACATGCGGGTGTGGAAAAATTGGGCCTTGGTTGTTGGTGGTGCACTATACCGAGAACATTACTTCAAGATAGAATAATCACCCACAAAGTTAGGCAGCCTAGGCAGTCTTCCAGAGATCCCAGATCCCAGACAAATTTATTCGGTTACATCTGCATCGGGATTGATAGCTGCTGCTGATCCAGGACTGATTCATTTTGATAAATGTCAGCTGGTCAACTGAGTCCATGGACATACACACTCTTTTATCTGTCACTAAACCTCCAGCAGCGCTGATGTGTGTGTCCTTTCAGAAAGCACGCTGGAGCAGGGCAGCCCAGTAGCTCCATGGCATATTGGCTAAGTTCTGGTTAGTGATCCATTCTCAAGACCCAGTAAGTCAGTGGATCGTCTGCTGGAAAGCTCTCCATGTCTGCTCTTGCCCCTCGGTAATCTTCGCAAGTGCAGGCCCACCGAACGCCCTGATACTTCAAGTGTTCGTCGAACACATGAACTAGCGATGTTCGAGTCGAACTCGCGTTCGACTTGAACATCAAGCCCTCTAGTCATCTGTCTGCTGGACAGTGCATCAAAAATTGTATTTGGAGGATGTAAGATTTGAAACTAAATGCACTGGCGTGCTGCTATTCAGTCCAGTTTTGTAATTTCCTGTTCTAGCCATGCCATGGCAAAATTTTAGTTTATGTGAAAAAAACGTATAGCATTTATATTGCTGAGTTTATGCTCATTAGAATATTACTTTTTAAAACAAAGGTGCAGTTGTCCTTTAAAGCCACCTTTCGCAGTTGAGCCAGTCAACAGGTTAGAAAGTAGGATCTTGTCAATAGCAATACAGACAGCAATAAAAACCTCACAGATGATCTAATTCTTCACCACCCTATCTAAAATGAATATAAAAAATGTTTTGACTATGGATTTCTTTTTTTTAAAGTGAGGAGTCTAGATAGGGAGGTCTGTATTAATAATGAAGGGTTAGAGGTATATCGGGAATTTCCATTCAAACTGGATCTATCCATAACTGAGATATTGGTTTGGGAAGGGTTATCTGTTACTTATTGTTTTTGTTTTTTACAGATAACAAGGGACATAAGACAGAGGATGATCAGCAGTACAGCATATTCTGAAAACCATCAAATCCGAGTGTCCCAGTGTGACTACAAACTTTTTCGAACCCTCTTCCTTCTGATGATCTCCTTCTTTGTCATGTGGACTCCTGTGTTCATCATGGTACTACTCCTTCTCATTCAGAACTTGGACATAGACTTCCGTCTCTCACCTACATGCTTCTTTTGGATTTCTTTGTTTACATTCTGTAACTCGATAGTCAACCCGGTTTTGTACAACATTAACTTATGCCGCCAGAAATGGTGCCAAATTGTGTTCTGTTGCAGCACAGAGGAAAGCACAGACACAGAGACCACCATCAAAAAGAACGAGAATCAAAATTGTGCTTCAGAGATAAAATAGCAGGATGTCATTACCAGGTGACAAATGTTGAATGGCTGACTATGGAGTCGGAACAAAACAACGTGAAGCCGCGCTGCCAGGCAAATTTTGCCAAGTGACATTTTTTTCCAGTTTTACAATGATTTCCTTTATCAGTGCTGACATAGAGCACAACATCATGAATAATAATATATCCAGCCAGCAGAGTGTAGTAGGGAAGGACTTCAACTATGAAGACTAGAAACACAAAGTGCACAGCTCACCCCTGTCATGCATCCTTGTAATCTACATTCCGTGCACGGATGACCCTCTTCTGGAGTGATTGTCTCAAAAACTGTAGAGCCAGAACACAATGCTCTACCAAAGAAAATCAAACTTTATTCCACTTGCATCCATACAAAAAACAACCGCTGATGCGTTTCTGAATTACGCGGCCTTAGTCATAGCTATTATGGACAGTTTTATGGACTTCAATTATACCTACTGGCCAGTGAGGCTACCTATCACAGGAAGGTGCAAGAAATCTTGCAGATTGGAATGCCAGTTTGTGTGCATCTAGTGCCAGTCATCTGTCCCTAGGCACAGGTAACCACTTGATGTGTGGATACGTGCCAATAGTGGTGGACAGCATTGGCGCCTGTCGGCCTATCAGTGCTATGTACAGGCTTCCCTGCTGCAGCTGTTTGTACACACCTGAGATTCCAATTGCAAGGGCCTGCTGTCCTGACCTTATAGGATGTGTTAATGAGACCTAAGGAGATTTTTAATGGCTTACATTATGGCAAGTGCTATATGTTTCACTCTTCAGTACCTATTTTTATTCCTCTTATGTAGATCTTCACACTTGTCAGTCACTTGTAGATGTGTGCATTCGGATGAACTTTCTGAATCATGAAGTTTCGTTGGTTTGGCAGTTCGTCCGAATCCGAAATAACACATTTTTATATGCCCCGAATATATGAAAAACTTTATTCAGGCAAATAATATTTAATTTTGTATGGGCACCGCCATCTTGCTGCGTTCAAGACGGCGACACCCCCCGGCTGTGCCCCTTTCCCCCCCACGACGCAGACGTTGGGTGAAGTCATGTGCCCCGCCTCCAAGATGGCATGCGCAGAATATGCCGGTGGCCAATATGACCGCAAGCCATTTTTTTTTTACATGTGCACTTTCGGATTCGGAGGTTCGTTGCATCCAAATCAGCATAATTATTGGTTTCATCAAACGGAACGAAAGAAAAGGTTTTTCCCTTTTCATTCATTTCGTCCGAAACAAATTTTTATGCTGTGCACATGTCTAGTCACTAGACATATCTCTATGTAACACAATCATACAGTATAAATGGGAGGCTGATAGAAGATATTACAGTGTATAAAGAATATCAAAGAGGGCAGAACTGAGCTGCTCTAGTGGTTCACAGTGTGCCTAGATTTCAGAAGAAAAACACTTTTACTAAAATACATGATATAAAGAAGGCCATTTTGTAAATTTACATAATTGAAAATTCAGTTTTCATTTCATTGTTCTGTTTTTTGGTATTTTTTAAAACTGTCGGAAACCTGAAATCTCCTGAAAGCATAACTGAGGCTGCTCTGTGCAGTGTCAGGATCACATATCTATTGTCCCACCCTACTTTAACATCATATAAGGTCTAGACATTTTATATTTGTTCTTCAAAACTAAAGTACTTCCACATTTTTTACACATTTCAGGAATGAGCACGGTTTCTTTACTTGTATTTAATATGCAGATGATTATATATTGTATCGTTTTGTTACAGTACTCATTTTTTAATGAAACATTTTGGATTTCATTTTGTCTGAAACAACATGACGTAGTCATCAACGGCATAAATATATGGGACAATGCTGGGTCCATAAGCACAGAGGGCACAGTCTAAAGTGCCTGAGTAAGAACTTAGGTATGGAAAACATGCAGGGGCTCCGATGGTGCACAGTAAGTGCCAAAGGACCACAAGTCGAGCACCAGGGTTCTATACAATTGCTACGAAAGCAGGCCGTATTCTGTACCATTTTAGGATGTTGAGGGGTTCCTAATTTTTTCCGCTATGGAACCGGATGACACAAACAGGCTATTTATAAAACTTCCACCCAGCGTATAGCTCATTGGATGCCATTTGCATGGCACAAGTGCTCAGGAGCATAGGAATTTTTCATACTCCTCAACGCCATTCAAGGTCTCTAGTGCTGTGTGAAGTTTTCTTAAGAAACCCGATAGTTACCCCCTGCACAAAAAAGGTGCTGAAATGTCTTTTCTTGTGATAAACATAAATAGATGGCATCAGGAAAGAATGAATTTCCTTATAGACTACTGCAAGAAGCATTTTTGCACCTAAATTGGCATGTTACAGGGAATTCTGTTGCTGTATTTGGCCATTCTGCCTCTTCCTCTTTGTGCCAGAGATGAACAGGTCAGAACCAGGAATATAAACTCAGTTTTAGTGATGCAGTTGTAGATTCATTGGTGATAGTTGGGAGGGTGCCAGGTCTTGCCTTTGCATTATGCTGTATGTCCTTGTTTAATTACTCCGATCACCGATTCTATATAAGCCAGTGAAGTGCGGGAACACCTTGTATTCACATATGTGATCCAGGGCAGCACCTGACCAAGTTGGAAAGGGAGGATAACGATGACAGCCCCAGACCCGCTATCTTGAAATGCATTTCAGCCGTGGCAGCCTCCGAATTTCTGTGCAGATGGGGACTTTTTAAGTGTTATTTTTGTTACTGATTTAAATATATAGTCTTTTCATGTTTTTAGATAGAAGTGTAAAATAGATCAGTGTGATGTAAATAATCTTCTAGTATGTGTTATTATTTAAAAAATCTTATTTAAAGAGACCCTGTCACCAGGCTATTTAAAAATCTTGCCATAATATCATATGTATATTTAACCAGTTGATGTCCGCGGTGTTTACACCCCCTTCTGGCGAGGCCATTTTTCAGTATTCAGCGCCTCGGTACTTTGACTGACATTTATTCCGTCATGCAACGCTGTACTGAAATTAATTTTATACCATTTTTTGTGGGGACAGATAGAGCTTTCTTTTGGTGGTATTTAATCACCACTTTTTTTTTACTATATTAAGGAAAAATTACTGGGAAAAAAAGGTGTTTTTTTAAACGTTATGTTATAATACATTTATTATTACCCAAATTTTTGGTAAAATATAAAAGACGGGGTCACATCGGGTAAATAGACACCAAACATGTCATGCTTTAAAATTGCTGCACCCGCGAAATCGCAAAAAACTACAATACCCTAAACTGACCATAGGCGACGCTTTAAAAGCTTTTACCGCTCATCAGTTTAGTGTTATCAGTGATTAATGGCCCAAGAATTATTGCTCTCACTGCGATGTTCGCGGCAATATGTAACATGTGCGGCGTAATGGGCGCAATCGTCGTTTTTGCAGGTATGCACACCCGACACATGTGTGTACGCGTGTATGTATGGGTGTGTATATTGCACTTAAATTATATAAATAATCAAAAACAAAAATGCAATATATTGCAGCATACCACTCCTTAGATGTGGTAGCTGCATTGGTTTTCTTTTTCAAAATATTTCAGCAAGTACAGAAAATACCTGCTCATGTTGCCAGAAAGGCTGTGTCCTTGTCACTTCCCACAAGCTGGAAAGACAGCACCCATTATCTTTCTTATGTTAACTACTAGTCCCATAAATCCCCCATGTAATGGAGATAAACAAAGGCAGACATGTTTGAACTCCAGCCTGTGTGACAACCATGGCTGTCCCAAAGATACAGTGGAAAAATGAGTGTAGCCATGAAGAGACAGGAAGTGTGTTAATTGCATGATCCGTAGGTGAAAATAAAGCCTGAACAAAGAAAACAAATGCAGCCATCCCATCTAAGGACTGGTAAGTTGCAATATAGTTTTTCTTTTTGGATACACAATAAATGAATAGTTGTAAGGAGTGGACTTTACTCTTCAAATTCCAGCTCCTAGTAGCGTACAAAAGCATTAATCCAGTGTATCCACCTTCCCTATTAAAATCAGACTTTATGATTTTTTTCCAGAGCAATGTGTGTATCTCAGGAACCGATTGGTAGCTCTGATAAGAAGCTCATAGGGCATGGCGTGCTTCCATGTTAAGGGGCCCCTTGGATGGTGCACCAGTCCACTGCTCTCTTATTTCTGGTAATCTGGGAACACTCTTTGCTTTCCCATGTGTAATGAAGAAGATGCATTCTCAAACACCCACCGTTAGCTTCTTGATGTCTCTAACACAGCGCCTCTCAACCTTTTCTCATTTGCGGCACCCTTTAAAAGTATGCAAAATCTCAAGGCACCCCAGTCTAAAATGTACAAAACGTGAATGTAAAAATGTAGAGGTTCCCCCCAAATCTGTATCAGACCTGTGTCCTAGAGAGGGGTCTGACATGGTTTTTAAGGGGCACCTATGCAAAAAAGAAACAAAAATGATGTGTCCCCCCTTTACTTGAGAGTCTCCTCATTTCTATCGAAAAAGCACCCTTCACATTAGAGTACCCCCTTCACATCAGGAGCCCCCCTTTACTTGAGAGTCTCCTCATTCCTATCGAAAGCCCCCTTCATATTAAAGTACCCCCTTCACATCAGAAGCCAGCTTTACATCAGAGTCCCCTCCTTCCCATCGGGAGCCCCCCCCCTTCCTATCAGAGTCCCCCTTCCTATCAGAGTCCCCGTTCCTATCAGAAGCTCCCCCTTCCCATCAGACTCTACCTTTCAAATCAGAGTCCTACCTTACAATCACTACCACAATGTGGCTGCTGCATCATGGCAGAGGGGAGGTGGAGCAGGTCTGGACAGAGGTGAATTTCTGTCCTCTTCTGAATGCTGGGGTAGATCCTGGATATAGCCCACCTTGGATTAGTGGCATGCCTTTTCATGGTGCTGGCTCACCTACACCATGGAAATGCATGACTGTGAAAATTTAAAGGCACCCCTGACAAAGCCAGAAGGCCACGGTGCCCTGGTTGAGAAAGGCTACTCTAACATACAGAAACCCTGATGTATCAGTGCCAGTACTCTGAGGCTTCTTGTAGCCATCAATTCAAGCTTATATAATGCAAATAAGAATGGTGATGGAGCTAAAACGATGATGTTACACAGCCCAGGCTCAAGTCTTCACCCACTGCACACGTGAGGAGCTCTCTGGAAGCTGGCTACATTATATTACACAAAACTCAGATAATAGCGATCAACTTTTTTGATTTTATCAAAGTTGTATTTGCTGAGTAGGATTTAAAGTTGTTTCTTGAACATCTTTAATTTTAATATAATGTTTTATTGTTTTCATATAATCTTTTCATTTTAATATAATGTCCCACTGTATACTGTACTACAGACAATATCCCGTGGTATCAAAGGTAAGATTTCAGTTGTGAGGTCATTTTTATAGCATATACATGAATAAAATGTTGGAATTTAAAGGAATCAATAGGTTGTGTGGTCTTAGAATGTATGTGTATATTTATTGCTTCATTTCTGGAGACCTAAAATCACAAACATAATGAAAGGTGCCAACAGATTGCTTCCTGAAGTGCTACAAACATCATACAATTAATCTTTGTATAAAATATGTACATTGGTGCTATCTATCATTGATCCATTCGATGCCTCAGATCCAAGGTCTATTAAAGATTCATTGACATAAAATACCATGTTTCAGTTATTCTTTCTTCTTGGAAATGCAGAATTACCAGTTGGTATTGCAGACACCTGGAATTACACAAGATTAGCAGATTAACCACAGAATATAGGTAGGTAGGTACCTTATGTCAGGGGTAGGCAACCTCAGCACTCCAGCTAAGGTGTAACTCTAAATCCCAACATGCCTCTGCCTCTGGGAGTCATACCTGTGGTGGTCAGTCTTGCAATTCCTCATGGGACTTGTCGTTCCTCAACAGCTGGAGTGCCGAGATTGCCTACCCATGCCCTGTGTTTGGCAGGTGGCTACTTACAACTGGCTGTATTTTAGGTGCATGAAATAAGATATGTTTGTATTGCCCCATAACAACCATACTAGTTCATCTGAGCTAATTACAGATAAATGGATAGGGAAGCTTGTATTTAAAGCTGAACAACTATATACACAGATGAAAAACATATAAGGGAGCTGTTTAATTTGCCAAGAGATTGTCATCCTGACGATTTACACAGCTCTGCCACATAGCACAACCCTGTCTGACAGGGGAGGATACCTGATCTTTCTCTGCTGCACTCTCCCTTACAGGTATCCTCCCTACACCCAGGGCCAGTGCTAGACTATTTTGCACCCTAGGCAAGACCAGCTACTTGCTCTCTACCCCTTTTCTGCTGTACTAGTGATCTAATAAATGACACGCATTGGGGTTGATTGACAACCTTTTCCCATTCACACATTGCTACCACCACTAGATGGCACTAAGGAGCATAGGAGTTTCCTATAAATCCACCCCATGGCCCCATGGCGTCGCAATGGGCCTCATGTATAAATGTATCATGCATTCTTACTGACTTATAAAACCATGAAATAATTACTGAATGTTCAGTCTACTCTTCTCGCCAATGTGCTTCACCATTCTGGTATAAAAATTCCTCTGCTCCTAGCCAAAAGGTCCAGCCCAAAAGGTAGATGTATAAAAGAAGCTTGAAAATGTAGCATGACCATGGTGCCATGCAGGGCTGTAACTACAGATATCGGGACCCTGTAGCAAAAATGTAATGGGGGCCCCCCTGGTGACCTCTCTCGGAGTAACAATGCCAAGATCCCAAAGACTCCTCTTGTGCACTTGAAGTTGTCTCTATACTGTAGACTTTACAGTGGATTAGAGTTGTCATCAACTTCCACCACTCCAACCCCTAAATAGAGTACTGTATTATCTTCACATGTTCTACGTTTATTTTGCCTCAACAACCTAATGGGCTCCCCTTCTAACCCCAGGCCCCATAGCATCTGTCTGGGCTGCTATAGCTATAGTTACACCATGTGAATTTTTTAGGCACCCCTAGGCTGCCACTCCAGAGGCACCAGTACTTTCTCTCCAGTGCCAGGCTAGATCAGGTGGACCCATCTGTACTAGGAGGTTCTGGGTTACAAAAGCTCCTGCCTAGTCCACTAGGTGAGAATCAATTCTAGTGGAAATGATACCCACAGTGCACCCCTCATATCAGAAAACACTCTCTGCTATTACCCTAAAGACATTGGTGATGATGAGTCTCTTTCATGGCAACTGTTAAAAACATGTACTATACTTAATCTGAGTCAGAGAAGTGGCATTTGTTTAAGCACATCAGTTAAGATTAGCCCGGTCAACATTTAAAAAGAGCTTGGAGCGCCATCTTCTGGCTAGAAATCGTCATTACAAAATATTCCCATGCATATCTTATTTTTCTTGAAAAAAAAGAGAAACTTTTTCGAAAATATCGCCGTGTAAATTATTCTTACCATTTTGGGGGACAATTCTGTATTTTCTGTCCAAGCACAACTCCGATTGCCTTCTCCGGACAATTCTCTGTGTCTCTGGGGAAAGTCCATTTCGATTTCGAGAGAAGATGAAGGAGTAATCATCAAAGCACTCTCCGGTTTCACTCACCTCACGGCATGAGTAGACGATGGCATAGTTATCATAATCGGTGTCTACCACCCAATGGTGATCAACTGCATGCAAAACAAGTTAGATGTATAGGTAAATCTTATCAATATAATATTACACACGTCATGTCAATCATGTCAATGCAGCATACCAATGACATAATCTTAGCCTTAACAAAGCCATAGGAACAGAGCCCACGGATTGCTATGTAATAGTGAAAGGTCCGGGATATTGGAAAATGATAGTGTTGCTGTATATTGTGACTTGTAAAGAATTTATTAATGGAGACTTTTAAAGTTATTAATATTACCAGGTTAAAGCTGGGTGAGGATTTAGCAAGAATGTATAAGGCCAAAGGAACAAGACATGTTCAGTATATTTATTATCCATGTAGCATATGCACAGGGGCATCCCGAAGACATGTGTCACCCTGAGCGGAGACCGAGTGACACCCCACCGTGACATCAGCGCGCATGCGCGTGACATCACCCCGGTCGCGCGCAATGATGTCATTGTGCATGCGCGGCCGTCTAATTGACGCCTGCTGGCGGCCATCTTGGTGATGGATGCCGGCAGAGAGAGGAGGAAACGTTCACCCGGCGGGATGAGGTATGCCGCCGAGTTCCCCTCCTCTCTCCTGACACTGTTGGGTTCTCGGTCCATGACCGATTGCCCGACTTTTTAGAGAGGTTGACACCAAAATGACTGTCAGTCATTTTGGTGTCACCCCTCCAATGATGTCACCCGGGTGCGGGCCGCACACCCCTTGTGACGCCACTGCATATGCATTTGGCACATATAAATAATACTCAGGCAGCTCTATTTAATTGCTATGAATGTAGTTTATGGTCCAAAATTGTTTATTATTTTAGAATGGCATTTAGTGGGAGACTGGTAAGAGAGCAGGCCCGACCTCACTATGGGTCTCCATTACAATTATGTCTGTGGGCCCTGGGATCCTAGAACAATAAGAAGATGACATTTGGATCCCTTAATGTCAGACCACTGAACACATAATTCTGGGGCAGCACAGTGGCTTAGTGGTTAGCACTTCTGCTTTGCAGCACTGGGGTCCCAGTTAAGACACTATCAGCACGGAGCCTGCATGTTCTCCATGTGCTGGTGTGGGTTTCCTTCCATGCACATGCTGGTAGCTTTATTGGTTCCTGTCTAAATCAGCCCTATGATGTATGCATGTGAGATAGGGACCTTAGACTGTAAGCTCCTTGAGGGCAGGAACTGATGGGAATGAATAGTATGTAAAGCCAGCAATATATAAATACCTGTAATAAAATGACATCTGTAGCCATGTTTCCTACACCTAGACTACAATGGTACTTCACTGTATTATGCTTACCTCCTTTTTCAAGGTAGGATGCCAGTCCATAGTATTTCATAATGAATTTGCCAGGCTCATCAGTGTCCTGGAAGACTCCCACCATGTCAGCGCAAACTTCTATGGTGCTAAAATAAAACCACAGGTATACTGAAAGTTACAACACTAAAGCTGAACACTAGGCAAGCAACTAAATACACTCATGAAATAAAAATATAGGAGCTGTTTTACCTGCCTTGTTATTTCTGTCCATCCAGTCCTGAACTGTACACAGCACTGCCACATAGCACAGCCCTGTTTGGTAGGTAGGAAACCTCTCCTCCCTTCAGCATATCCCGTATCAACTTTTTGATTGGTTCCTTTTTCTGTTTCTCCCTTTCCCAGTTTGACCTCTGCTCTACCCCTTGGTTCTTCTCAATGACCATTCTGCTGCCATAATTGGTGAGACCCTGGTGTCATTTGACAGCCAGGCCTCACTCTGTATGCTAGTAGTGGCTCCTGTGTACAATAATGCCTGCAGTATATAATGCTGAAATGTATGCCACAAAACCAGGCATGGATCATTCTTCTTGTTAGTTTTCTTTGACGCAGTTGCCTGGTGACTATAACTACAGAAAAGTTCCAATAATTGTCATGTTCCATTTCTGTTGTGTCCATTTTTGAGAAAGGGGCCACCAACAGCACCATGTAGTCACCCAGGCCAGGTCTAACCCTGACTGAGCTTGGTACAACCTATTGGTAAAAGATTCATTATGATTGGTTGATATGGGTTAACACCACATTTTCCTCTTTTTATGCACCGTATGCCAAAAGACATAGAGGTCACACTCTGGAACTCTTCTCCCACAATAAATGTTATTAAAGTGACATTAAACCCTCAGATTTTTTAACATAAAACAATACTGTAATGTGTGCCTTACTGTAATCCATGGTTGTTTCCCTTCTCTTTGCTGCTCTTCCTTTTAAATCTGTATCTCTTCTCCTGCTGGGCAGAACTTCGGTTTTGCAGCAGACTGCCTTGTCTCTGGAATGGATACATGGTGTCTGTGTGAAGGTTCACAACCTGAGCCAGCACTACAGGAAGAGGCACTCAGCTGCAAAGGGAAGTTCTCCCCCAGCATGAGAAGACATGAGGATTTAAAAGGAAGAGCAGCAAAGAGAAGGGAATGGATTACAGTAAGGCACACATTACAGTATTGGTTTATGTTAAAACATCTGAGGGTTTAATGTCACTTTAAGCTTTGAGGCCCTGGGAATCCTGCCTAGGCTCCTCCCTCTGACATGTTTCACTCATGTTTTACTCACAAATAGCTTAATCATGTATCATTTATCTTAGCATAAGCTTAATCGTTAATCATTTAAATAATTGAAAGATCAATTAAATATTTATGACAAGTTTGTTTGAGAATTCATGAGCATGCTCATTATCACATACCCAATTTCCCTCTCCATGCTGTGAACCTGGAAGCATTCTCCTGTGAGCACTTCCAGGTTTACAACTGGCAGATTACAGCAACATATGTACACAACACAATGAGTTCTTTTTGTACTCAATCTGGTAGGACAAAGTACAGGGAAGACATTAGGAACCTAACAGACCCTTGATGTCTCCATGAGGACCAGTCACCTGTACAATGCTCCCACCCATCAAAAGTTCCAAAGAAGAGGTAAACCTACAACAAGCCCCACCCGTCAGAGGTTTCAAAGAAGAGGTAAACCTACAACAAGCCCCACCATTCAAAGGTTTCAAAGAAGAGGTAAACCTACAACAAGCCCCACCATGCAAAGGTTTCAAAATATAGATAAGCCTATAAAAGTAGAAATACTTGAAGATTTACTTGTGCTTAAAATGGCAGCAGTTGTGTTATAAGAAGACAGCAACATCTTACTTCATTAAAAAGACTCTTCCTCTGGCTGTGGCTGTCATTTTTCCCTCCTCATCAACATTGAAGTTGGCCACAATATCATCATAAAGGAAAAGTCCTTCCGGGTCCTTCTTGGCTACTGCATACCAGGTTCCAGTATACTGAGAAAAATATATTTACGTGAATTTAAGACTTTCCTTTTTATTCTCTTTTCATGGATAAATGTGCATGTATTGCAGAGATAGACTGATTGTCGAAAAGGACCGCTTGATAGAGAAGGTACCATCATCCCCATATAGGCAACCACCACAAAACACAAAAATAGTCTTGATGGGATTTTGTAGATACCAACTCAATATTTAAAAGACCACATTCATATAAAATCTATATGTTTTATTTATATTGCCTTAAAATCACATAAAACAAATAATCCCAAACTGATAGCTTTAAAGTGACACTAAACTCAAGAGCTAAATCTTTAGAAATACATTCAAGTACGTTAACTATTAACAAAAATGTATCTTATTTGTGTATCACTCGGCTGAAGATCCTCAAATCATCTCTGAATTGTCGCTGACACTTTCCTTTTTTCTGGAGGGTAGCTATGTTTGTTCCACATGGTCCCTGTGTGTGTTGTAACGTAGCCAGTGCTCCAAGCTTGCTCCTGTGATGGATTACAATCTCAATACAAATGAGTAGGGTTGCACAGATACCAAATACAGTACTCGGTACAAGTACGAGTACATGTACCGATACTTTTTAGCTCCAAGACTAGACTAAAGAAAAATAAAAAAATTAGGAGGCAGCTGTCATTTGTAAGGAGCACACGGAGCTCCTGGGATTTGTACATCTCTGTTTTAATGTACGATTTTGTTTTTAAAAATATAAATAAAGGGATGCACAGATACCAGTTTTGCGAGTGCGAGTACTGGTACTTGCCGAGTACTTACAAGTACGAGTACTGATACATTTTTGTTTATTGTCATGTGAAAGTTTTTCTAAAACAATACAGACTAATGATTTCAGGACAGTGGTGGAGCGCCAGAGCCAGGTCCCAACTGCAACCGCTGCAACCCTGGTAGTTCTCGTGAAAATGCCAAGTATATGCAATGGTACTCGAAAAGTATCTGTGCATCCCTACAAATGAGTAAACTAAACGTGAGATTCTAATCCATCATGGGAGGGAGCTTGGAACAGTGGTTACTTTACAACACATATCCCTTCATATATCTCAAAAAATCAGAACGTTGGAACTGTAATGGCCTCTAAACACGTTTCGTGAACTTAGCCCACCTCTAGGAGGCCACCACAAGGAGGCTAACAAATACATAATCACCAAGCATGAACAAAGTGTGCATGTGTGCATGGACCCCAATGTATTGAGGCATCTAGAAGGACCTCAGAGAAGAACAGAGAGGGACCTCCCAGCTCTATTATCTTCTATTATTGTCCTGTTACTTAGTGATCATTAGAAACAAGTATCTGTAGATATCCAAAAATGTATCACAAAGGATAAAAGAGGGGTAGTAACTCCTATTGTATCATCCAGCATACATTATCTGTATATGTGGCTGTTGTCAGGTAGATATTAGTTGTAAGGTCAATAATATCCAGGGATGGATCTTCTATCTTTCTGAGTCACAGTGTTCCAAATATAATCCCCCCAAAGAGTATTATTGATGCAAGCATATTATAGATGAGCTAAGCTGAATGGAAATCAGTTATTGCTTACATCCCCCACCACTCCAAATAAATATATGCCCCCAGATTTCCCCAATGCCTCTCTCCCTGTGCTGGCTGGTGTGGGACCAGTCAACGTTTGATAATTTTACCGTGGCCCGCTGAGGGGGGAACGTTGATTGTTTATATTTTAGATTGTTTTGATTTAATAATTTTAATTTAATTGTATTTAAACATGCCTTCAAAATAAAATACAGTTACACCAAAAAATGAAAGCGTTGGAATTCTTCACCTATTCCACCACCGAAAAACTGGGCGAGATTACGTTAAAATGTGTGACCACGTCACTGGTCACACATTCTAACGTAGTCTCAAACTTTGATAGATCACATGCCTACCTGTAATCATTTAATCAGACTAATCCACATTCGTGTCTGCTTATTTAATAAAGCACAGGGTAAGATTAATGAAGTACAATGTGTAGTAGCCCACTGCAACCAAAAAAGTCAAAAATAAATTCTGAATGGCTGCGTCACTTAAGCATTAGGACTTTTCATTAAACAAAGTCGATAAGAATTTAGGAGCCATGGTTTTCATAAACAAGGTAATAAATATGTAAAGACATGCAGGTGTAGTTAAATAATCATATACTAGATGCACTGGTCTATCTGTCTTGTCACAAATTGTGGCCAGGAAGTTAACAAGAGAGTACAGGGAGGCAGGAGGCTGAACGATGTACATGGTATTTCCTGTCCGTTGCTCAGCCTTATAAATTGACCAGCATGCTAACAGGTGAACGTGGGAAACCCCAACTCCAGACACTAGGGGGTACATTTGTAAACAATTTGCCTCATCTGTAAAAATTAATTTCATGCAAATAATGGCAAAAACAAATGTTGTTAAATGTATTTTTGTACTGTGATGTAATACTGCAATATGACCACTAGATGGGGAAGGGGGGCATGGTAAATAAATACAAATTCCCTATGCCCCTCAGCTCCATCTAGGGGCCATAATGCAGTATTACATCACAATACATTCAAACTGAAAAGTAAATAAATTAAGAACATTCATTTTTGCCATTATTCACACAAAATAAATGTTCACAGATATTTGCAAGGCGAAGTGCCCTTTGAATTGTTTGTAAATAGACCCCTAAGTGTTAAGTCAGGTCTGAGTTATCTTTTGGAATTCTAATCGTAGACACTTATATATTATTAACTATGGAAATGATAAAACATCTGTGATATCAACTTACTTCTATATTTTAATATCACATGTCTGTAGACACTGCTAACTTATAATATCCAGGTACACCTTAGCAGCTAACAATAACAGTCACATATAGATGTGAAATAAAATTAAACAAGGTTGACATCTATCTCCTAGACGTTTGTAAGAGATGTAGAGGAAAAAATGTCAAAAACAATAAAGTACAGGAACAGTTAAAACAGGGCGGCTTACCCGTGCTCTGTCAAAATTTTCCATTGTTTTGAAGTTGCCCACTTGGCAGTTTCTTTCTGCCGAACATTTTCCAATGCAGAACAGGGCAATAAAGAGCCCAAAGGCTTTGAGGTCCATGGTTCAGTGTATGACCAGCTCAAGGAAAACTGTCAAATAAAAGGAAAAATATAAAGCAAATACTTAATGAATTCTCGTAAATGTTTGAAAGGGATAAAACTCATATATACTGTATTGTATATAAAATTTCAAATAAAAATATAATAATAGTAATGGAAAGGAAATATAAAATGTGAATTTTAGAACAGTTTGGATTGTTTTTCATAAGACATAGTACAATCACGATATGGAAAACCATAGCAATAAATAAAATTACCATTTACAGCAGTAAGTTTGGTTAGGTGATGAAGTTTGGTTAGTTCCTATGGGTTATTGCACTCGCACAGCCATCATGATTTACTGGTATATAATAAATCTAGATGTATTTAAAACATCACGTATGCAAATGTTCCACACAAACAATATTAATACTACTAATGCTAACAACATATATAATACCAATACAAAAAAAAACCAAAAAGGTAACCCAAGAAGAGGTTTGCACAACTGTCTATAAAAATATAAACACTTTATTAGAGTCATAAAATATATATAATAGTATATAGTATTTTATGATTCTAATAAGGTGTTTATATTTATATAGATAGTTATACAAAACTCTTCTTGTCTACCAAAAAATTCAATTTATTTGGTGTTCCCTTTTTGGATTCTTTTTGTAATGTACGACTAAAATGTGGTACATAATATATGAAATAAATTCCATTTATCTGCCGCAAGATAAATATAATAACATTTATGATAATAAGCACAATAATAGTATTTAACAATACCAACAAATGTTCTTATCCATAATTATTATTTTGCTAAAATTGTAATAAAAATACTTCTATTAACATTAATAGCATTGTCAATCAACATCAACAGTATTATAATTATTATTAGCAATAATATGAACACCAATAAATATTATCTATATTTTTTAAGTACCTAATAGTAATAAAGCAATCATAAAACATGCTAATGATTTTTAATAGATTATTATATGATATATTATTGATTATTAAATAATTGTATGTTATATTTGATAAGTAATAAAATGTTAGCTATCCTGCCTGCAGATAATTTAGTATTTATATTTGTAGTAGTTTCTTTTTGGTGCTTCTAATATAAAAATCCCATGCAGATGTTATTGGAAGGAACCAGGTCAGGTAGCTGAAGTATGTCCAGTTAACAGAGAGGAAGATTGTCTTACAGAAAATCCAGCTGCTCCCAGATGTAAGAAAACCAGGAATGCTCTGCCTGGGAGCTTTATATACAGCTCCCCAGTCACACGGTTTCGTAACTCCAGCACAAAGGTAAACGACTTATATTTTAAGCTGCCAATATATATCCAGTCCCAACTGGATAGTGGCCCACTTCAACAAACTTGCATAACATCAAACTGTGCACTTTAACCCATATCCCAACACTCTGTGAAAACCCCCCACAGCAATCTCACGAGGAAAGAAAATATGACACTGTGTACGCCGAGAGGTGGGGCTTTGCCAAAGGATATTTGTGATTTTAAGAGCTTCGTCTGTGGTTTGGAGGTGCCTGGCTAAAGGCCAGATCTGCAGGAGGCCACACACGTTCAATTCATGTACAGTCCTGTTGAACTGTTTCACTATTTTTCTTCATAGACATACAAAAAAACAATTGAAGCTTACATACATGTTTTGTCTTTTTATGTCTAGGTTCCCAGTTATATGTTGGCATTAAAATCACTGCACGTGACACATACATGCCACCCAAGGGCTTTCACTGCATCGGGGATGTCATATACACAATCGTAGCTTTATTTTTTTAATGTTTCTACAAAGTGAAGCTGCAAAAAGGTTTTTTTATTATTATTTTGCTCTGTTCTGTAATAATACTCCAAACTATTGTTCAGCAACCCTTCTCAGGCAGTATGCTGGAGACACAGACTCTATGGGAGAGCAGAAGCCCAGATCTCAGTGGTTTGACATGTCCTAGATTGTTCCCTTCTCCTGCCTTCTCCAAACTCAACACCCTTTAGTGAATAGCCCTGTTAATCTAAATTACAGAGAACACATAGCTAGAGGGTAAAATCTGAGAAGGTAAAACTGTGAGGATACAACTAACAAGTGATCCAATAAGCAAAAAAAACAGACAGACCCCCACTTGGAATATGGGAGTGAGCCTTTATGCAGAGGACTGAACAGAAGAGGTTGAGGATTTATGGCCTCTAGATCTGCTGCTGAAATGAGAAAAATACAGTCTATGTTTAGGAGGAACTGCTGCAAAAGTAGAGGAAGCATGAGGTCCATCCACCTCATCACCAGTTATCCTGCAGTGGTGTGGGTGTACTCCGAGCACCAGGGGGACCAGATATAACATGGTCAATGACAGAGCCAAAGAGGCGTCTGTCATTTACCATGTTAAAGGAAAAGTAAAGGGAGAGTAAATTAAATGTGAATGTGCATCTATGTAAAGTGCTGTATAAATTGTCAGCGCTATATAAATACCTGTAATAAATAAATGGAAAAAAAATACTCCTTGAGGGCAGCATTCTTTCATAAGAATTAATCCACTCAGACATAGATGCACGAATTTGAGTGACTGCCAAAATGGGAAGAAACGCTTTACCAGACAGCTAAAACTAATACAGGACAGAGTAAAAATCAGTATTTAAACATAAGAACATCAATGTTGTTGGTGGTATTTTCACTATTGCATTAACTTTGAACAGACAAAAAAAAAACAGTTTGCAAACAGTTGTGGTAAAACTGACATGTTTCAGGCCAGATGGTTTACATTCACTAGATGTGTTTGCTGGCACTGGGTCACAGTATGACATTTTGGTGCCATCCACTAGCGTAGGAGAGTGCTCTGTAGCTGACTAGCACAATACACCAAGGTATGGACAGCCCTATGATAGAGAGCTAGAGGAGGGAAGATCACAGACCCTAATAATAATTCAAAACCACATTTCAGTGGAGTGTGGGAAGAGATTCCAAAGTTACAGAGGAAACGCCCATACACACCCATGCTCTGGACTTGGAGGCTATGCTCCGTGGCTATCTGACACAGAACTGAAGTTGGCCACAATGCAGAGCTCAGTGCTTGAAGATGACATACCAGGTTTATTTTTGCTACGACCATAATATTGCTCACAAAGTGAGTTTCCAGAGACTGGCTCAGGACCTGGACCTGCAGAAAACTAACACAGCGCATTAAGGCCTGGAAAATGCCACTGACAGAGCCCAGTGCTCCAGGGTCACCTTCCAGGCTAGGCCCATGATCTTTAGTGTAGCGGTGTCCGGGTATGGCCTTCAAGGCACTGAGGATTAGCCAAACCAAATAGTTGCTATGAAGAGACTAGCTCAACCAATTTCTTTCCAGTCTTCAATACTGAAAAAAAAACATTATACTTGGTGTAGTAAATATGTTGATTAAAGAGAAAAAAATGAATTGGAGTTCCCACAACATAGCTGAGGAAAAAGCATCCAGCCTCCTAGGACACTAGCCAAAAGCTGAAGCATGATGGTTGCAGGCATAGTTAAGTGTGTTGGTTATGTGTTTAAATGAAGCACTGAGATCTTGAGGAATGCTGAATTAAGTTTACTTGCTTAAAATAATATTATATGTGAATACAACATTACACAGCATACAGAGAGAACTTCCTGTATATATCATAGATAAACATGAACATACAGACTAGCATAGACCAGCATTGCACTACAGTGTCATCTGCAGGTCAAAAGACATAATATATGATGTTGTTTTTCCAACAATGTGTAGGCTGGCTTAACAGTCAGTGTCAGTGTCCAAACCTCCTGAAGGCAGCAGCATGACACACTCGTCATAGACTATATTACAATCCTGTGTCCCTCAATTAATGATAAAGATATATACAGTAGTAGTTTTGTATAGTTATCCAATAATATCCAATAATATCAAGTTACCTCCCACCCGAAATGTAAGCACCTGCCGCAAAGGAGTTCAGGTAAGGTAAGTATAAGTGTGTCAGAGGATGCCCTTCGCCCTTCACCCTGCATGGGCAAGGTGACAGTGTCTCTTAAAATAGATTTATATTGTAATAACATTTCATTTGCTAAATCACTGTGTACCATAAACAATTGCCATTTGTTGTAATAATATACAGTAGTTGTTTCTCACAATTTTTTATTCTTTTTCCATCTCAGTGCTGCCGATCTCCGTAGCCTCCTTGCAGCCACTTCCTGGCTACATAAACTCCAGTGATACAGCATGGCTTTCTTAATGGTGGGCGAAGGTGACAACGCTGGACCATGCCTCCATAATGTCTCCATGTGTTTAAATGTTCACTTGTAGTCTTCAAGGGAAGCCTGTGTGACTAGCTGACAATGAAGGAGACAGGGACAGAGCATTGTTATCCTATAACAGAAAGTGCCCGAACAATGACCACCATGACAGGATCCCAGCTTTTCTTTTAATAAAAAGAAAATGCGGATTAAAAAAATACTAAAAATGTCTTTTGAAACAACATTGACTTTTATTTTAGTGATTGGAATATAATAAATGTTCAGGTAAACTATGTATATTGTAGGACTACACCACATTGCTACTCTGTATTGTAAAACGTATTTACCGTATGTGGCGTGCTGTAAGAAGGCTTTAGAGTTCTAAAAATTATTATCAAAGCGCTTTTGGGATTCTGCGTAAAAATAGATAAAAAAATGTTTACCTTAGGACCCCGGCACCTCATGGTGCCTCAGTGTCAATATTTGCTTCTCTGTTTCATCATGATGTAAACTGTTCCTCTGCTTTTTGTTAAACATTTTCCAAAAAACATGTGTGTTATAATGCGCGCTGACTGGATGCAAAGACCACCCCTCATCACTATCACCTACAAATGACTAATGACTAGGTCTAATGTGGGCTGTGCGGGGTCTCAGGTGGTGGGCATTCCTTAGAATCCGTTCACACCTAGGCATTTTGTTGCTCAAAGCTAAGCACAACAAAACACTAAAGACAAGGAACCCTATTAATTTCTAAGTCCTCTGTTTACACCTGAGTGTGTTGTCGCACAATGTTTTCCATTGAGGTCTATGGGACAAAATGCGATTTAATCTGCTAAAAAGTAGCTCATGTACTTTTTCCAGCGACAGGCGTTTTTCTGCTTGCAACAAAACACTCAGGTGTGAACAGCGGCCATAGAAATAAATGGGATTCCTTGTCTTAAATGTTTTGTCGAACCTACCTTTGAACGTTCTTATCTGAGAGAAGTTATTATCTGCATGCTTGTTCCAGGGTAGTGACTCAAAGCATTGATTAGTCATAACAGATATGCAGTCAGATAGACATTGTACAAGTAACCAAAATGTTGGCAGACTTACCTCAACCTTCCTGTTACAGCAATTGTGCAGCATGTCTAAATATAGCTGCAGTCTAATAGGCACCCAGTTAAAGCCAGTGCTCTCAGTAATCAGCTCTTACTAGCAGACCTAGTGTTATAAACCCCCTAGCTTCTTCCACAATAAATGTCTGTGTGAGTGGGGAGTGGTGTGGCTATTATTAAGCTCTGCCAGTAAAGAACACTGGCACGTGTAGGTGTCACAAATCGTAACATGCAGGGGGTTCAGGACCATAAAGAGACAAAAATGCGTGGGACTTAAATTCAAAGCCATAGGGTCAGTATTACAGCTACACGTGTTTGCAAAATGATCAGGCACCAATGACTACTCCATGTTTCTCTTAGGAAAGGTTTCCTTTGAAAAACAATACATTGCTGCATCATGGCTAAATAAGTTATCTTCCACCTTACTTAAATTGCTGAATTCTTTGTCTTGTTCACAGCCTACCTGAACTTTTGCAACAGCCTAGTCTCAGGTACAGTGGTGGATTCACATATGGTAGATGTGGGTAAACCAATGGCCTTGCACAAAGGAAAATGTAGGTCTTAATGATCAATTAACCTCCTTCTGTTAAAGGATTTGGCTTTCTAATATGTGATTACATCTTCCATTCACAAATACCAAAGTCAGCTGTGGGACCACACCTACTGCAACTCATGAATTAAACAATGGCTGAAGACAAGATGCACGTTTTACATGGAAACCTTACATGGGAGCAGAATTGTGATCTAAAAATGGATTGCTCTGTCTAAAGTCATTCTTCTGGGATTTAGGAGCTAAAAGCACACCAGGGGTTTAGTGTTCTGACATCTGTTTAATTAGCTGTCTTCAGAATCCCGCACTAAGAAGACACTAAGCCAGTGCCTTCTGTCAGACTTCAAGAGGCTTGGCCAGGTTTTGTAAGCTCTCAAAGATACACGCGTGTGTAGAAGATAGAATGACCAATATGCTATGAAGTTTGTGGTCAATAGTTACACATTTTAATAGAAATTAAAAGCCATGCATTGTTGAGAATCAATCAAGAAGAAGATGGGGGATCTGAAGAAAGAAGATGTTGAAAAATACTTGGAAAATAATCCTCAGTTTGCCAAGGAATATTTTGATAAGAAGTTAAGAAGCGAGGCTGTAACATCTTTGTTTAACCACAAACAGCAGAACCTCAAAGATGGAGTTTCATTCCAAGAGTTGGCAAAACTGGAGGAAGCTGACATTTTGCTGGAGGTGTTGAAGGAGATGGAAGATGTTAGTAACCTAGAGAAAGCCATTCATAAAGTCCTCCAAAGGCTAGCACTTCTCCTTCAAGCTAGCTACTGTAGTTTTTTCATATACAGATCTCGGAACGGGACACCAGAGTTGGCTACTAGGCTCTTCAATGTCACCAAGAACTCAAAATTTGAAGATAATATGGTGACTCCAGAAGGTGAAATTGTTTTCCCTTTAGATATTGGTATTGTGGGATGGGTGGCTCACACAAAGAAGACCTTCAATGTACCTGATGTGAAAAAGGTAGGTGATCGGTCTAGAACAAAGATGGAAATTGAAAAGCAGCTTTTATAGTTGTTTCATATCTACTTTATATACGAAAGGGATAAGTGTTCATAGAAAAGTGCATAGTGAATGTCTTGTTAACATGATGAAAGAGTCGTGTTTTTAGGTCTGGATTGGTTTAATAAGTTTTGTCTAAGGCAGATCTTCCATGCCCTGATATTTACTAGATGTTGGTTGAATTCCATTTTGACATATAAGTGATTAAAGTACTTGCACAGAATATTTTAATAGTCTAGAAAAGGGTACTATCAGTCCGGGAACATCAAGAATGCACATGTACCATGCCTATATTTTTGTATTAACTGATCCCCCTAGTGCTGCTATCTTAAAACTTTAGACAGCAAAAGGGCAGATCTCTATAACAGCATAACTACATTTCTCATTGCAAATCACAGTTCCACAACATCTACTGTATTTGCAGTGCTTCAAGTAAATGTTCTCATAGCATCATAATCATAACAATCCAATATCATAACAATCCTTCTATTGGCAAAATATAGGTAGCAAAAAACAGTGATCTAAATTGCCCTTATGTAACCATGGGCCCAGCGGTGGTTGGAATTTTAGATACCCGGTTGCTATGCCATTAATTATTAACAACTTATCTAGTTCATGCATTAGATCTCAGGCATCAGAGTTAAAATGTTTCCCTTGGTGTCCTCCACTATGTTTTTGTTTTGTTTTTTTTTTAAAGTCTGTTAGGGCAATAGGGCACTTGGCTTACACAAAGTTAACCTAACTTACATAAGGTATTTTTGCAATTCACTGAATATTGCCTTTACAAAGCTTCAGCTTCATGTTATGATGTAAGTTAAGGGGGCATTGGTTGTATTATCACTATATATGTGTTGACTGGAAATGAGATTGTGAAATGTCATCACTCACCTTGTCTGGCATCCATCTTGGTTATACCCAGGACTCTTGTATGGCGGCACCAAGTACAAAAGTGATCAGTGCTTTAGGACCCATGACATGAGGGTGCCCCAAGCATATTGCTACTGCTTGTCATCATTTTAAATCATGTGTACAGGATTTGGATTTCCTTCACAGCAGTTTTTTGTTCTCTACTCTCATTGTAAACAGTGTAAATGTAAATCTGCAACCAATTTTATTGAAAATGAGCACTTTAGAGCTAAATTCAAGGAGCTGTTCAAGGATTTAGTATGAGATTTTAAAGGTTTGAACCCTGCACCAGGGCCCTGTGGCTTATAGTCATAGCTTTGGGATCTTTTTGTTGTTTGCTGTCTGTAACGAAATGTTCGCAACGATTAGATGTGATCTACATTTCAGAGTACTAAGGGTGTTATGAGGACAGAGATATCTCTGTACTGCATTTACTGCCAAGAAAACATGTGCTTGTTACCCGTAATAGCAATGGGGAAGGTGGGGTCATACATAACTAAAATGAAAAACAAAATAGGTGGAGTACTTGTCTTGTCAAGTCAACACAACATACAGGAGGGAAACAAATATATGCAGCAGGCAAATATATAAAAATACTCTTTAGCTGGTTCTTCAAAAGCCATGCCTTTCAATTTTCAGCTGGTGTAGATACATTAAAATGTGCCTTTATATCAGTTTGCCACACACTAGATGCAAACTGAAATCAGACTTGTAGTAAGAAAGCTGGCTCTGTAAATTAATGAATAGGAGGAGGCATGAGTTAGATGGGCTGAAAGGAGGGAATGAGCTCATGTGAGCATGTTTCAGTTTTGTGATGGTCATTGGTAGTCCAAAGAATAGGAAAAGATTTGCATAGTTGTTGCACAGATGTCATCTATCCTATGCATAGCCCAGCTGATATTAATAAATTAGGGATGCACCAATACCGATACTAATATCGGTATCTGTGCCAATACCCAGTACTCGCACTCGCCCAAATGCTCCCGATGCCTATCCCAATACTGGAACTTCCGGTTTCAGGAAACAAGTAATGACTCTGTCTCCATGCTCTCTCGTCACCATTGGCCTGCTTCATGGCTAATTGGGACGCCGGGTGGTGAGTCATTACACACCGCCCGGCTTCTTTAATGGGACTTCCGGTAAAAGTCCCATTAAGGGACTTTTCATTAATATGTATAAATGAATAATGTGAAATCCCAGGCAGGCTTGTTCACTAGGTGGTGAAGACAGAATAGAGATGGCAGTTAAGGAAGCTTAGCAATAGGTAAGTACAAAACCATCTAACAAATTCTATTGACAACAGACTACCACTCCATTAGATATTTGGAAGTATGGAAAGAAAGCCCTGAACCAGTGTGGTTATTCTCTTGCGGTTTATCATCCAACTGTGAATATGTGTGTTGTGGCTAATGAATATGTGTGTTGTGGCTAAAGCTTTGGCAAGCCAAAGGATCTCCACAGTATTAGTGGCTCGACAGTGAACACAGTAGATGTAGGAAATGAAGCGCCACACCAAATAAAATAGTTAGCAACTTTATTCCATTAAGGTCAGGGGACAATCAAGTAGAGTGTCTGGCGCAATAAGTTGTAAGGACATACTTTGGGCTTGTCTTTTTTTTTGTTGTTTTTGTTTTTTGTTACATGCCAGAGGGTCTCTTCCCCTGCTTGCGATGCCGTCTCGGTCTACCCGCTGTCGGGGAGCCGTGCGGCGGCTCCGCGGTGTCGGGGGAGGGTTGCACGCCGGAATCCCGAGCGTTTGCCACTGGTTCCGGTGTGAATTGGTGCCAGGGGGTCCAGGACTGAGTTGCCGCCCCCTCCAGGACCTATGCCGAGCCCTGCAGGCTCCACGACACAGGGTCGGTCATCTGCCATGTCAGGTGGTCAGGTTATATGCAATTACTGTTATACAGAATGTCTGAAATGTTGTTTTGAATATACTTACAGGTGGTTTTCACGGAGCACCGCTCCGCCTAGGTGTAGATTCGCTACCCCCACTAATTGGTCCCAAGAGTGCCTTCAGGGCCATTGGGACGTTGAACTTCGGTTCACGCCTTAGCCTCAATTCCCCTCGGTGTTCTTCTCCCCCCCTCCCAATACACCGTTCCCTCCCCATCGTCCCTGTCACTTTCCTCCCCATCCTCCTCTTGTGTCTGTACCCTCCCTCCCTATCCCCTCTACCCTACCTAACGTGAGCCGTGTCTTTCCTCAAAATCCTCTCCCTCAATGTAAAAGGCCTCAATGTACCCGAAAAACGCAAAATGGTTCTCAATGACCTACACCGCCAGAGAGTTCAGGTGGCCTTCCTCCAAGAGACCCACTTTGCAGAGGGGCGGGCCCCTCTGCTTCGCGACCGTCGCTATTCAGCAGTGTACCATAGCTACTCGCCAGATAAGAAATCCAAGGGAGTAAGTGTGCTGATATCTGGGTCGGTACCGTGGCAATTACTCGGGGTGTCTGCGGGTGAGGAGGGGCGACTGCTGATGGTGAAGGGGATGATCGGCTCCCAACGGGTCACCCTGGCTACCATCTATGTGCCTCATCAGGGACAGCTTACCTTCCTTGAGCGTGCTCTGAACGCACTGGATGACTTCAGGGAGGGCACCCTAATTTTGGGGGGGGACTTTAATTTACACATGGACCCTGAGACTGACTCCACCAACCCGACCTCCCACCTGCCCTTTTCCGCCCTGCGGCGACTGCGGAAACTACTCCATTCGCACCAACTGGCCGACGTGTGGCGGATATAGCATCCCACGACTAAGGATTATTCATTTCACTCACTGGTTCATGACACATACGTATAGATTTTTTCCTAGTCGCTCATGGTGCCCTGCCATCGGTGTGCACCACGGAGATTGGGAACATTACCTACTCGGACCATGCCCCAATCCTGCTGACCCTTGAATTGACCCTGCTGCCCCCGCGCGGTTGGCGCTGGCGACTGAATGAAACGCTTATCCAAGATCCCGAACTCCTCCAGGAGATCGAAGGTGATTTGCGTCTATATTTTGATCTCAACTCCACCCCGGACTCCTCCCCGTACATGGTGTGGGAGGCCCATAAGGCCTACATTAGGGGGACCCTCATAAAGCTCGGGGCTAGATGCAAGAAACTGAGACTGGAGAAACAGACCGCACTTCTGACACAGATCCATTCCCTGGAAATCATCCATAAAAGACATCGTGACCCAGCTGTCCTGGCTCAGCTGCAGGCAGCCCGGGAAGCCCTCCGTTCACTTGGCTTAGACAAGGCCAAAGCCGCACTCACCAAGTGTCGCAGGCATTTCTACGAATACGGTAATCAATGTAGCCGCTACCTCGGCCAAGCGTTACACCAGCAGCGCGCGCGAACCTTTATCCTGGTAATTAAACACCCGGGGGGTCACCCTTGCCACCTGTCGGAGGACATAGCCGCAGCGTTCCGCGATTACTATGCTACCCTCTATAACATCCCGGGCCCACAGTCCGCTGCGGCCCTGACGCATTCGTGCCTATTTGACGGCATCCACCATGCCCCGCCTATTTCCCGAGGTCCGTTTATCCATGGATGAACCGATTTCCATGGCCGAGCTAGAGGCAGCACTCAAACAAACCAAGACGGGCAAAGCCCCAGGTCCAGACTGGTTTACTCTCGCTTACTACAAAAAGTTTCCCACTCTACTCCATGGCCATATGCTTGCGGCCTGGAATGCGATCCGAGAGATGCACACCCTTCCCAGGGATGCTCTCGCGGCTCACATAACTGTGATCCCTAAACCTGATAAGGACCCCACGGCATGTCCCAGCTACCGCCCCATCTCCCTCCTTAATGTGGACATCAAGCTTTTTGCGAAGGTCCTAGCCACGCGCCTTCTTCCGTATCTCCCCTCCCTGATCCACCCGGACCAGGCAGGCTTTGTCCCCACCAGGGAAGCTAGGGACAATACTATTAGGGCCCTTAACATTATCCACTCGGTCCGGTCGAAGGCCTCCCCGTACCTACTGTTGTCGACTGATGCGGAGAAGGCCTTCAACAGGGTCGACTGGTCCTTTCTTCGCCTCACCCTGGAGCACGTC